TATATATATATATATATATATATATATATATATATATATATATATATATATATATATATATATAAAACTTCCAATATCCTTTTTTTTACTATAATCAGTTTAATAATTTGAACAGAATTTAAACAGCATAAGAATTCCACGTTAATAAGCCATTTTTATTGAGGCTCACACAGAAGACATTTTACAATGACACAAAATTCTGATGGGTATTGAATAATAAAATGATTCTAATAATTCAAATCTAAGTAACATCAAATTCTAAATTTACTGCTAAAGCTACGTGAAACTTTATCACCCAAAAATTATCCCGAAAAAAAATTTATATGATCTGATCTTGAAGTGATTCAACAATTAATTTCGCTACGCTCACCCTGAAAATAATTATCCTGGAAAGCACCCTAAAATGACATTTGTCTGCTGATCTCAGCTAAAAGAATTACCTAGAAAGAAGTTCACTGAGATTTTCAGGCCTGTTTCTTTCTAAAATTGAATTTACTTTAATCTTTACAAAAAGGAAAAAAGAGACAATCATATCGCAAAAACAATTTCACAAGAACAGTCTAATTAAAAAATGCTTTAAATAATAATGACACGAGCAACTATTGAGGAGGGAAATAAGCCGTAAAATTTTGAAATGTAAAATGGAACTTTAATATTGATGATAAACGCATCCCATTTATGGGCTTTCAAAAATTTCGGACAAAATTCAACAAAAACTACATGCAAATACTAAAATTCCTAAATATCTTACCTTGACTTCCTGAAATAGGATTGACCGATTAAGCAGAAGGAATTCTTTTTTAACATCAATTTTCATTGAGGAACAGAACAGAGAAGATGAGAAAGGAAGTTCATATTATCACAATTAAATAAATAAATGAATAAACAAATAAAAAAAAAAGAAAAAAAAGAAAACACTACCTATTCACGCAACAATGCGTGAAGAAAAATCTAAAAAAGGGAAATTCTATGAAAAAGTACAGAAAAAAGAACCCTAATAGGGTTAATACGGGAAATACAAGGAGATCTGAGCAAACAACAAAAAATATATTGCAGAGAAACGTTCTACCACTTTTTACGGATAAAGAGATCTCAGAAATGGAGTGAAAGCGAAATAA